CATAAAGGAATTGCAGCATATCTAATATCACTTAAGTCCCTAATATTATATATCAAGAAAAGAGAACTGATTATTTTCAACAGATGACTAATGTCACAGGGTACAAATAGGATGGCATTTGTACATCTTTACAAAGTAGAAAAGTTCAATTGCATATTAAACATTTTAATTCATCCAGCTAAACAACACATTTACGTTGTAGCTTTCTCTACATAGGAAGGCTACAATTCAAATCTTCCCAAAAGATTCCATCAGTTCCATTGGACTACCAGTCCCATCAGCCAACAGCATTGGCTTTATAGGCAGAGACTCATTCAAATTGTGGCTAAACACATCTGTAAAGGGACAAGATTGGGGAAGATCAACATAATCATTTATTGCACATGGTGTGAAAGGAAAGAAGGAAAATAAACTTCAAATGTCCAGATTTTAACAAAATGTCATTTTAATTGTTTTAGCAATTTATAAACATGATTTTGTTCTCGAGAATACTAAACCAGAACATAAATGTCACCTACTATTTTTGTCCTTAAGATTTAGGATTTTTAAAAAAAGATAAGTTAGTCCATTCATTTTAGAATGAACTGTTATCCAATCGTATTTATTTTCATGTTCATATTTTTGTTGCTTTCTATAACAAAAAATGTACTTCTAGTGAATTTAAAGTGAAACTATTAAGACTAGGTCAAAACAGATAAAGATTCTTTGATCACTACTCAAAGAAATAACAAAACAAATTTAAAAAAACTTGAATACCTGCTGTGGGAATTAACACCATGGAATTATTAATTGTTATATAATTATTATTAATATTTTGTTGTACAGAAGCTGAATTGAGTTCACTAAGATGCATTTTGAATAAATGTACATAGAGTTTATAAACTATTGTATAACTGACTTCAGAACTGTAGCTTTAAATAGCTTGCTTTAAAACTCCTCCCAATATTAATAGAATTCCTTAGACTGAAAAAGAACTAGCATGGTTTCAATGCAAAAACAAGTGAATTCTCTTCTTGTTACATCCTTTGAATTAGAGGGGCTTCAAGGGAGCTGGAAGTATAGCAGTAAAGAAATGAAGGCTGCTTTCTAGAAATAGGCCTCAAAGAGTTAAAATATTTCCCTGAATTGCTGGTGTACTTTCTGTGACCTTGTTCGGTGCAGAGGCTTGAAATCCAACACAGTTTAACCACTTCCATCTTTGCAGCTACAAAGGAGAACCCTCACTGAAGACTGCAAATTGAGAAATGACTACAAAAGCCAACAGTGCTCTCATTCTGAGTTGTGAAAAGTATTGACTTCATCACTGAAGGCGGTCTCACAAAGTTTGTGAATATGATCTGATATTGTCTCTTTTTTATATTCTAACTAATTACTGCTGTTGGGTGACTACTGATTCCCTCATTGCTCAAGTTGACTATTCTTATTTATTGCGTCCAATCGCCACAAACTAATTTTTTTAAAAAGTTTGTCTATAACAGGTGACTAACAATATATTTGTAAAAATATTCTGTACCTATAACAGGCTTTGTGCACTGATTGTTTTGTGGAACACATTGAAATATACACAATTAAGCCCAATTTCCATATGCAAGCTGTGGCAATTAACTGCATGAAGTATGATTGCAAAGTATTGATTCTTGTTGCAGTTTGATCAAGTGGGACAGCTTATGTTTGAGATCTGGCGATATTCCCTAAACTAGGAGAGAGATTATCCAGTAGTTGATGACAAGGTCCACAACTTAGTTGTGAGATATTATACACAACCAACTCTCCACACTGGACTGAGCATATGTTCAGTATGGCCATCACAACAATGAATATTGAACGATCAATTCAATATTCAACTTTGTTGCTCTACAATAAGAAATGATCTGGCTGACCCCAAGGATGGGGTCAAATACATCATCCGTTTGGAGACTCTACGCCCCCAGAACAGCCCCAAGTCCAACCCGCTTGAAGTCCACTGAAACTTATCTTGCACCAATTTGCCTTTATCTTTAGTAGTTCAGATATTTGTATATAGATAGCATGAAATAAAGCCATAGTACTTTTGAATTCTATCCTGGCTCCTGACTTCTTGCACCTGACATCCATATAATTAATGCTATATGGAGAATGATATTTTATACCCAGAATATATCCCTTCATATTGTCTTATCTCCTCTGTGTAACTAGCTATCCATGCTTTGTTTATTATAGATAGTTATATGGGGTTCTGCCTATAGGATATAATTTATGTAAATCTGCTTGAAAAGTTTTTCTCTTCAGAATTTCTTCCAATATGCATATGATGTGGTAGAATGACATATTATGGGGTATAAGGAACTATTTCAGCTCATCTATTGAGAAATAAATGTTTCAAGAATGTTAGTCTTCCTATTGGAATTTGCAATATGGAAATGATGATGCTGTTTGTATCATACTTTTGCAGTAGCATCTCTGTTTATTTGATCTGACTTGACTTCCATTTTCACAGAGGAAACAGATACAATTTACCCAATGCTTAATTATTATTTAAAAATTACAATTGCCAAATAAAACAATCGCTATCTTCTTTTTGACTTTTAAAACACTCTACAGGAAATTTTTACAAATTAAAGCAACTTGTTCTTTTCTTTCTTCACAATTATGGCATATTAAGTTATCAATATGGTGACCATATGGACAAACCTGAAAAGGGACCATTTGAAAAAAAGTCATACATATAAACAAATGTAATTGTTTACTAATTTGTTTTACAAAGGAAAATTCAAGAGTAAAAACAGGGAAAACTAACAAAATGCATATTTTAATAAAAACATCTAAAATTATACTGTATGTAAATTAATTTTAAAAAGTTAATTTCAATTTCTGTATTTTTCACATGAATGTGAAATATTGTGCATTAAGTAGTATCATTTATACAATAAAAGTCAAATGAGTTAATCATAAAATTAAATTAATATTGGCTGAACTCAGGATGATGTCCAGGGATTTTTTTTTTAAAAAATGTTCCATTTGATGCTAAGAAACAAGTCTTTGAAAGCAATTTTTAATCTTTTCTGAAGGAACTGTGTTCTGTAAGCTACGAAGGACTTTATTCATATTTTAGGGATTTCTTTTTTCCCATTTGTAGAACGTAGTACCTATCCCAATAATCTCTGTGATTTGATTTCAATAGCATGCTGAACATTATTAAGAAATATAGCTGAAACACCTTTTGAGAGATGTTAATAAAGCAAGTTTAACTTTGGCTCCATATTATTAGGTTCTGAATAAGAGTAAAAAAAATAGAAGCAGTGTTTGTCTTGCAGTTATTGCTTAGAAGAAGACCTTAGAATGTGAGGTCATTTAGAAAAGTTTTAACTTTGCCCCTTGCCTTGATTGAATTTAATACTATACATTTAGTCTTTCTCATATGCATATAGATATAGCTTCTTTTACACCTAGTTGGTACTTTTTCTTTGTGATAAAGCAGGTCAAGGGTTGTGGCTAATCTAGAACAAAATCACTCCAGCCAAGGACATACAACCTTTTTATAGCTGAAAGCTGAATTTAGCCTTTGAGTGGGACGCCAAAGGCTATGCATTCCAAAATATGTGAGCAAAGAATTTGGTAGGATCAGGGCAGCAATCACTTCATTAACAAATATGCTTAAGTATTACATAGACATGGCCACTTTCAATTTCTTAACTAGACTTATAGTGCAATGCTAAAGGTATCTGCTCAAAAGTAGCTTTAACAAGGACTACTTTATCAGTCATTATGAACTCACAAAATAAATGGCTAGTGGAATCAGGATAATCAAGACATTCTCTGCATTAGCTGCATGGACCAAAGAAGGATTGTTTCAGTCAGTTTAGAGGTATTTACTTTCTATGAGACTTTTGCTAAATATCATGGTGAGCTACACTGCAGGCTAACAGCATTCCACATTTAATTAGGTACCATTCTTACTGAAGATGCTAATCTCATTTAAGCAGAGGCCATTCATAATATACTGCAGCTTTCACAATTCCATAAAGTGGTCAAATATTACCGTTGTTACAGGTATATTAGAAAATATCAGATGCCATCCTTCTGGACGGATGTCTTTAGAAAAGCTATTTGTGGTTTTGCTTGGTTTTTCTAAATAAAAGAACAATTGAACAAGCATAGCAAGGTGGATGGTTTGATGGAAATTGCATGCTTTTCTCTGCAATGGAGAAATCACACGTCTCAAGCACGCAGTATAATATGATTACCTATTTCATTTTGGATCCTTTGCTCTATGTCATTCAATGTATTCTTGATCCATGCAGTGATTAACGCCTTTAGCAACTGCCTTGAATATTATCAATCCTGATTACAGAGTAACTGAATGGGCAAACTTACACTCTGATTTTAAACATATATAAAAAAAGTATGTTCCATTTATTTGGATGGTTTCCACAGTAACTTTGTCTGATGTTGGCTAAAGTCAAACCAAATAAAGCAAGACCAGATCTTGTTAATATTTGGGAGACCAGTAGAAAATCCAAAGGCTATTGCCTTTTAGCAGGTGTCAAAGCTGATTCAAAGAAGAGGTTCCTTTTTTCTTTTCAACTTATTATATAGAAAATTAGTTTTAAATTTGAATTTAAATATAGTTGCTAATTGCCAAAATGTATATAGGACTGGACTTTCTACTTGCAGTTACATGAAATGCTATGTCATAGCATTTCTTATAATGTTGTCATGTGTTGTCAGTGCCTAGAACGAAATATATTCTAATTGAAAGTAGCCATCTAACTATCTTTAGAGCAGAAGATTGTTGGAGGGAAAAAGAAGAAGAAATAACTCTGTGGGGAAAAAAAGGCCCACTATTACCATGAGAATTTCTCAAAACAAAAAGAATTACCAGAAGTGACATTTCACTAATATTCAGACCGTGAAGATGAACTGATGGAAAGACACAAATCACTTGCAAAAGCAACACTAAAGAACAACAAAGTTGTTAACAAACAGCATGGCAAACAGAACGGAAGTTGAAAGCATCCCACCTGTGTCTGTTGAGGGATATTTACAAAGCTTGGATCCCGTGGTCCAACACTGACGAATCGATTTGCAGGGGAGGTGCTGGGTGTTGAATAGGCTGTGAAGGGAAGGGACACATGCGTTCAGGAAGCAGCACTAGATCACAGACAAACAACAACAACACTGATCTCAGAGCCACCCAAACAAATGTTGAACATGAAAATGAAGTCACATTATAAGGATCAAGAATCTGACTTAGGACAACTGGATTTCAAATGATGGAGAAATAAATATGGACATCAGTAGGCAATAGAAGAGTATCTTGCTTTTTAACGTCAACCAATGCTACATATTTGAAGTTAAGCTTGGAAAGTTAATTCAAATGGCTTTTCTTGTACAAAGATCCATAGGCAAGAAGTCTTGGGGACTGCAATATTATGTTTGAGTGACTAGTACTTTAAATTAGTCTAAGATCAGAACAAATTACACAGTGATATGAAGAATGGCTGATAAACATAATGTAATAAACTGCAAGTGCACTTTATAAATAGGCATGTAGAAAATAGCATTTATGTAAAGCTATTATCCTTAATACAGTGAACTTTGGCTACATTATTGGCAATTTTTAAAATGTAAAAAGTTACAAATATTTCTGGCTTTCTCATTGTTATAGCATATGATTTGGGGCTATGACTATACCACCTCTATTAACAATTAGTTTATGATCAATTCTGATTCACTGCAATTGGCACAGCAATTCTATATATGGTAGAATGGAAGAAGATTGTTTCTGATTTATATAACTCTCCTGACTGTATCCTCTTTTTAAAACTGTACCCAAATAGAGACTGACCCAGATTCAAAAGAACCACAAAAGCATTGGATCCTGCACAGGTGTTTTTTTTTTATATGTATCCCTAGATATTGGGGAGATATCTTATTTTGAAATAAAATACCCAAGACATACAAGTGAAATATGAATGCTTTCAATTGTCATGATCCTACCCTGTTTCTGCGAAAATAAGACCTCTCTAGATAATAAGCTCAATCGGGCTTTTGAATGCATGTGCTAAAATAAGCCCTCCCCTCAAAATAAGCCCCTGGGAAATATTGCAACACAGCAGCAGCACTGAGGTGACCATGCTCACCACCTTCTGCACCTCAAAAATAATTAGACCTCCCTGAAATTAAGGCCAAGTGCTTATTTCGGGGGTCAAAAGAAAACAAAACTTTGTGTTATTTTTGAGGAAACATGGTATATTCTATTGCTATTACGTCTATATTATTATGCTAATTACTATTATAAAAATTTACTATAGTATTCATTTTTATTAAATATTCCTTATATATCTTATTTTATTATGTGACTATTCTATTACAACATTGCCTCTTTACTATTACTATGTTACACCTTATAGTATTATTATACAGCAAAGTCTTCATCTTACAAATCCTTTTCTGCCTTTGCCTTAATTCTTCTCTCTGAAATTTTTAATTATTTTTCCTTCTCTATTATTGGTCAGTACAGAGTACAGGTAGTCCTCAACTTACAACAGTTCATTTAGTGACTGTTCAAAGTTACAAAAGCACTAAAAAGTGACTAATGACCATTTTTCATGCTTACAACCATTGTAGCATCCTTATCAAAAGGATCAAAATTCAGGCACTTGGCAACTGACTCATATTTATGATGGTTACAGTGACCTAAGTCATGCAATCATCTTTTGTGACCTTCTGACAAGCGAAGTCAATGGGAAAGCCAGATTCACTTAACAACCATGTTACTGACTTAACAACTGCAGTGATTCACTTAACAACTGTAGCAATAAAAATCATAATATGGGTCAAAATTCATTTAACAACTGTGTCATTAAGCAACATAAATTTTGGGCTTAATTGTGGTTGTAAGTCAAGGATACCTGTACTTGCACCTTTCTATGTCCTGCTTTGCTTTGGCTCTACAATTCTTTTTCCTCTGCATCACCCAGACACCCTTAATAAGGCAGTTTGTCTAAGCAACCTGCTTCTTCCATAGACTGTTGTTTTGCTGAGGGTTGGGCATGGCAAAATGAGAAGTAGACAGACCTTCTTCATGATTGTCAGTTCAAGTTTTTAGAAGAATAATTTGTTAATAATACAGAATATAACCTCTCAAAGAAGTATGTAACTACTGGTTTAAAAAAGTAAAAACTATCTACTGTATGAAGACTGGAGCTTTATGTCTATGAAGATTCTCAGACATCCAGATCATGATTGTCCCAATGGTGCTTTTTCAAGAGGCAACTGGACTTTCTGGTTTTTCTTTGAGGATGTTTTGCTTCTCATTCAAGAAGCTTCTTCAGCTTCTTAAGAGTTGAAGAAGCTTCTTGGATGAGACAAGAAAAACCAGAAAGTCCAGTTGCCTCTTGAACAATCACCTTTGGGACAATTGGACCTTTATGCGTTATTGCAATGTCCTAATAACATAATTAATGGTATAAATTAGGTAATCTCTACCATATTCAAAGCAATGGCCTATCATAAAAGTATTGTATAACTCAAAGAAATATAATATATAGCTAGGGAACAGTCATGACTTTAACTGAACTTGTCATGAGACTAACATTGGAAAAAACAATAAAAATAGAGAAATACATTAGAGAAAATACCATAAAATACATCAACATAAGAATTGTGCAATAAGCTAAATCTATATCCAAATATATATGTCTCTTTCTCTCTCATAAAAATTCTTAGATCTAATGTCATGTCATGCAAAGTCTTCTACTCAAGACTTGGAGACACAAAATCAGCCATACTTGTTGAATGAAAAAATAATATGATCTGTGCAGATAATCTCCTATGTTTTTACAACTTTGTAAGGACATTGCAAATATATCTAACATTATCAAAGGAACTTATTATACGTAGAAGGGATATGAGTGAAACACAATTCTTATGCGCTAATAAATTAGCTGCTTATTAATTAGCTACTAAACAAGACAGCTGAAGTTCATCATATCAAATCTAAAATAACCTTTTGCTATAATGTAATATAATAATGGTTACTTCTTATTTATGCATCAACACAAATTCCTATTTATATGTGTTTCCAAATATTTAAATCTAATTTTATACACTGTTTGTCAGTCCTGAAATTAATATTCGTAAATCTTTTTCCTAATACTGCTAGCAGTCAGTTCCATTTTGAAGTAAATGCAGACTGAATGGTTCCAAAACATATCTAATACAGTTATTAATGTAGCAGCAACTTTGACACTTGTAAATCAGTGTTTTTCAAACTTGCCAATTTTAAGTTGATAGACTTCAACCACAGAATTCTGCTAATGCTGGGTGGGGAATTCTGGGTGTTGAAGTTGATACATCTTAAAGTAGCCAAGTTTGAAAAAAAATGATCTAAATGATGCTTATCTATTATGTTTCAGATTCTATTTAGAGAACAAAACCACAGATTCGGCATGCATGAGGTCATGATGCAAAAGAGTATGTTGTTTATAATGAATGAATGACAGAAATATAGAAGAGAATAAAAAGAAAGTAAGATACTTCACAATCTCTTAGCATCTCCTGAATGTCACAATCATTCATTGTCATTAGGCAATATTTTAATCATCAAACAATCATTTACTTTACAGAAGCCCTTAAGTATAAAAAAATGCTGATCTGAAGTAATAGTTGTTCTTGTTGCTATTAATCTTACATATTTGCCCTTCATATGTATGACACAGGATGAAAGAGCCTTTGTTCTGCCCAAATAATATCTGAAATGTAATAGACATTATCTCCAGTTGTTTGCTTCCAGATAATGTATGTGGGGAGGATTAATGTTTTAGAGATGTTACACATTAGAGCTGACAACACCAAACCAGAAGTTCTAATTCAATATACCAAAACATGTAACTTGTGACTTGTTTTTCATTTTCTGTGGCACAGAGGGTAGTCTTAAAATTCCTGCTTTTTCTGAAATAATTATTACCCTCAAAGAAATATAGTCAACAAAGCAAAATCCCAGGCAGCGTTAATCTAATACAACATGCATTTTCATCTTTCCAAAGAGGATATGTATGGTACAAGCAGGTCTGCTATTCTTATATGATTGGTGATAATATTTGATCTTCTACAGATGCTGTACTAAGAGGCGGACAAGAACCTGACAGAAGAAATATGAAAGATAATCCTCCAAAGCCAGCCAGTTCAACTGCTCATCGTGTTTTAATGTAGCCCTCCCATAAGATTCATCTACTATGGCATACCATTCATTTTTTCCAAATAATAATTTATCACCTATTTGTGATTGTGGGAAGCTCCCATCGGAGCTTTCAGGAGGCTAACTGTGAAACTGCCTACACTCATGTTTCAGATTCCATAGCTATATAAATTATAAATCCCTGGGAGGATTAACAAATCCAGCAATCAGGAAATTTCAGTTTTATTTAATCTAGTTTAAATCAAAGTTTCAGGCACACAGCAGCTGTGACCCATCTTTTGAAATGCATTTGATGAAATCTTTAAAAAAATCACAAAGGGAACAATTAAGAATACAGGTTGTTATGTTTCAACAACCCTTTGTCTTCTTAAAAAAACAGAAATAAAAGGTGTGAAAATTCATGTCATACAATATGTTTTCTTCATGCAATGCCTTGATTATTTATTTTATTTCATTTGTATTTGTCAGAGTGAATAGCAATATTCTTTTTTTTTTAATACAGCATTTGGAGCTCACAAAGCATTTTATATCATCTTACTTCAGCCAAATAGTCTGTCATGAGTGAGTAAGACAAAGTGGATGTGCTGAATCTACAAACTATCAGCATTAGTGGTAGTGATAGTAAAGGCTAAAAGGCCTTTAAATCTAGTTATCATGTTATTAATAGCCTTGAATACAGTGACTGTTACCTTCTTAATTACCAAGATGGGTACTTAACTTAATTCAACTCAGTGCTCTTTAAGTCTTCTTTTTATTAGCATGTTTTTACCTCTTTCAGAGAAGAAAAAGGAGTTGTCTAAATGTGAAATATTTTTATTCCTACATATGCATCTAAACAGATTAAAGCATCAGTGTGCAATATGGTGTGTCAAAGTCTTAAGCTTTCAAAGATAAGACTGCAGGTTATGTTTTTGCTCATTCATTTATTCATTTTTTGGCTTCACACTGCTAAAAATGCCTTTTTTTTTGCAATGAGTTAAAACAAAGAATATTACTGGAGACCCAAACAGCTAAATCACCATACAGCTTGCCTGTAGAGTTGTCACATTCCTTCTCTATAGTAAGGAAAAACAGGATGGCCCCAAAATGAGATCTTAAGACTTTTTGCTCAGAGATCTTTGCTTGTCGACGATACTTTTAAAGATGCTTTCAAACTAGTTTTAAATTAATGAAAATTTCTATCAATATTTTTCTTTCTTTAGGCAATACTGATGTAACAGCTTATTATTAATTTCATCTCTTCTTATAGACCGATCATATCAAGTGTCAATAGGAATTTCGTGCTTCTGCTGCTCTAAGAGTTAAAGTAAAGACCACAAATCACCAATAAATTTCCTCTCCCCTTTTGAAACTGTAAAGCACTATGCCAGCATCACCATTAGACCAGAGATGCATTCTGGTGATCAGTATAAAATATTAGAAAAATTGGGTAGGAGATGTTTTTGCACTGTTGAAACTTGTAAAACAAGGACAAATTTTGACAAGAAAAAAAAGCTTATATACTTTTAATTGAATGTGATATTAATACGAGTCAGACATATTGCACATATCAAATTGCTTGCAACTCTTCTCCCCTCAAAAAAGATACTATTTTGCAGAAATCTTCCATTGCTTACATGCACAGTCATTTTTTTCTCTCTCATAAATCATTAGTTGATGTACTTATTTACAGGAATGTTTTAATTTAAGTTTCATTTTACAGAACTATGAAAACATAAATCTCTTTCAAACCCATGTCAGCCTCGTGTTTCCTCCTTTAGCTGTACTTACTCGGTGATGTGGGAGAGGCAGCACCACCTTCTGTCGACGTGGTTGGAGGCTTTGTGTCTGGCACTGGAAGAGGCACAGGCCTAGCCATTGGGGGTGGAGGCGGTGGTGGCAACATTGGGGTTGGAAGGAATGGATTGTGCACCTTGCCTTGGCTGCTACCATTGGGCTGTCAGATACAGAAGAAAAATGAACCATTAATTGCCTCAAATGGAATCAAATGGCTGGGATAAATACACATGGCATAAACCTAACATGGCTAAAGGCTTAAATGGACAAGGAAAACTCAATTAAAATTGGTTATCCACTGTTGTATTAAAGAAGAATGCATACATCCAGTCTATATTAAAGAATATCTGAGAGATTTTATGAATTAAGGTAAATATATGTTTCCCAAGATAATGATGTGAAATTGAATTTGGGTCGGTCACCGGGACTTTTATTTTTAAGAACATCTTATATTGTTAAAAGTCTGTAGAGAATCTCAGTCATCCAGATCATGGTTGTCCCAAAGGTGCTTTTTCAGGAGACAACTGGACTTTCTTGATTTTTCTTTGAAGATGTTTCAGAGCTGAAGAAGCTTCTTGGATGAGAAACAAAATGTCTTCAAAGAAAAACCACTTGCCTCCTGAAAAAGCACCTTTGGGACATCTTATATTGTTTTTCATATAGTTTATACTGCAGGGACAATAGCCAGATATCAAAGTAGCTGAAACAATACATAAACAAAGCTCTATACATCAAACATAACACATGGTCATTCTCTGATATAACTTCTGTACCATGAATACCTTCTCAAGAAATTATGCAATACAGCTAGTAGCTATTTTTCTCAAACACTTTGTAGTTCTATGGATCCAACTCTGAGATGTGGATCTAAAACACTAGCAGCCATGCATTTTTTATTATATATAGATTACAAATTGAGTGCTAAAAGCAAGAAACATTCTGCTATCAGAAATGTAATGAGTAAAAATAACTATGGCCTTCATTATTTTTCACTTGTACTCTACTGTGAGACAACCAAATATTATTTTAGATAAGGCTATATACCGAGGTAGTCATTTGTCCATATAAATGGAATGTTATTCTAGTAACCTGAAGATAATTGCTAAATTTAACAACAACCTAAGATAATTCAACCAAAATTTTGGAACACTGTTTAATTTTTCAGAGATAAGGAAAAAAGATAATACCTCCTAGGAATAACAGACCATAAAAAACTCTACTTTTATCTTCCTGAGTTCAAATACTGGTCAAGTAAATCTCAAATGCTACAAGAAAGCCATTAAAAAAGTAAATGTAGCTGATTTAAAACAGCTGTTTTGATTCATTTTTCTACATAAATAATTAATAAAAATTATTATTATTCTATATTTTGGATTCACCTTGGAAATCCAGGAATCAGGTCATAAGAAACTAAATAATTATCTTTTGGGGTCATGTTAATTGACAGTGTTTCTGAACATGAATGTGAAGTTCAAATCATATATACAATATTGTATGGAATGCAAAATTAAGACCATCAAATTACTGATGAAGTCAATTTACCCATTGCTAGCTATTATAGGGCAATGATCAGATACTATATAAAGCAGGAAATTGCTGTGAATAAGCAATAATGGCAACATGAGGTATAATAATAGTACAAATAGAAGCAACAGAACAGTGTTTGATGCCAATGGGAAGATGTTAGAACTAGAGAGTACTGTATACACATACAGGAGTGTCCATGGGAAGAGCAAAAAGTCAAGATGATCATCATAATTGTGCGAATGAAGTCCCACTCTTTCAGTATTTATGATAATAAATATGAACGCACAAAGGGTGGAGGTCTTGACTACTCCAGTCCCTCCATGGATGCCATTGTATGCATATACATCCATCAATGTTTTCCAACCTCAACAGCTTTAATATATGTGAAGTTCAATTTACAGAAATTTTGACTGGAGGTTTCTGGGATTTGAAGTCCACACATCTGAAAAGTTACTGAGATTGTGATATGCATGTACCCCACCTCCCCCACATACTAATACAGAAAGTGATATTTCAGATGGCAGAGACACATCCTGGTCTCTTCCACTGCCATTGCTCAGCTGAGACATAAATGTAGCCTTTTCTACTGGACATATGCTATAGTTAGCATATAAAATGTTTATACACACACACACACACACACACAAACATGTAGACCTCATCTTACAACAGTTCATTTAGTGACCATTCAAAGTTACAACAGCATTGAAAAATGTGACTTAGTGCTGTTTTTCAGTTACGACCTTTGCAGCAATTGCATCATCATGTGATCAAAATTCAGATGCTTGTTAATTGGGTTCATATTTGTAAACCATTGCTGTATCCCAAGGTCATGTGATCACTTTCCGACAAACAAAGTCAATGAGGGCGGGAGCCAAATTCGCTTAGCAACTGGTTTACTAACTTAGCAACTGCAGTGATTCAGTTAACAACTGGCAAGAAATGTGGCAAAATGGGGGCAAAACTCACTTAAGAAATGTCTTACTTAACAACAGAATTTTTGGGCTCAATTGTGGTCGTTGGTTGAGGACTACCTGTGGTATGTCGCACTAATCACTTACATCAAAATTTAGCAGATTTCATTACTGGCAAAAATTGATTAAATTCTAGCATGTGGAAGGTACAAATTATAGGCACAAGGTAGCGAAATCAAGACAACTGAAATTATATTAACTCCCATCATAATCGACATGAATGAAACACATTTAAATGTGGGCTGGTTTATGCCCCCTAAGCAGAATGGTTTTCTTATGTGTACAAATCTGTTTATATCATTTCATCATTATAGAAACAAAATTTCTGGAAAAAAAAGTAGAAACAGCTTCCTTACATTTAGGAACCCCACCTGTCCAGCCTGCTGACCAGCATCCGGGCAGACAAGTTGGACAAACTCTTTCAGAGTCTCCTGAGGATGATAGCGAATTGCTGGGTGTGAGAAGTATGGCCCAGGCTGTTGAATAATGGGTGATGTTGGAAAATGAAGAGTCGATGGTGTTGCGTGTGGACTTGCTATAAGAAAGAAAAGCAAAATACATTATAAAGAATAGGTTTTTGGAATCTGTTAAAAAATAAATTATCTAATTTCATGCTTTTTTATATTGCTTTATTATGTAACCTTAAAACAAGTTTTCTGAAATGCATATATCCTAAAGTACAGAACTGATGCCTGTAGTGATTTTCACCATATGTCAAGTAAATTCTACTTTACTTCAAGTATAAAGGCAGAGTGTAAATACAGCCAGATTTTAAAATGTCTCTTCTGCATTTTTAGTGGTCATCATTTATAAAGGAATCAGCAGTCCTTGGTAAAAGTGACGACTATTCATTACCTTAAGAGCCTTTCTAATGAATCCAGCAATAAAAAATGTATCTGGGAGATTACAGTTGATTTAATTGACATTCTGCATAATTCTGGTTTGCACATGGGGAACAGTTTTACTTTGAGCTATAAATGGGAGGTAACATAATAACACCGATGCTCTTGCAGCTTTATTTAATGTTCAGTTCATATAATTTGCATTATTGTACCCCAAACATTAGGACTTTTATCTCTTATAAGTGAGAAATGAATAAACATGTCCCTGGATAACTTTTAGGAATACTGCTTCAAGGAGGGTAAAGTGCATTCATATATTGAGAAATTTGTGATTGCAACACAGAAAGTAGCCCAGGAATGGTTTTGAATTGCCCCAAGGCAAAAAAACAAGACAGCAAAGATTCTTGCTGTCAATTAAGAATTTGGAAGAAAAACATAAATACTCTTAAAATACCAGTGGTGACATTGAATGGCTTAATATTGGGCTATGTGCAACAAGAAAGGTGTCCTCAGGATTGAATCTCTCTCTCTCTCTCTCTCTCTCTCTCTCTCTCTCTCTCTCTCTCTCTCTCTCTCT